GCAACTTACCACCACAGTGCAAAGAACCACAAACGGCAATGCTCAAATCACTCCTTAGAACTTGGGGACTGAAAGTTAAACCAAAAGATATTGAAAATTTCTGGGATGAAGCCACTAACTTGGCCCCTTGGGTCTCTCCCAAGAATATGTAGGATTCTAACCTCTGGATGCAGGTCCTTTTCTTGGCCTGAAAAAGGGAAGTAGGATCTGGAGTCATTCCCCCTGTCTCGTTTGTTCTGATCCTTTTTAGCCATCATTGCCAGCCTTAAGTCCTCCTCTCCTGAAGAAGTCATTTCAGCCCACAATAAGCATTGTCAGGATCAGGCCAGTGTAGACTTTGCCATTAGTTCAACCCCTGCTGACCTTGATATGGGAACCAGCCCTGAGGTCGATCCAGATGAGGAAGGGGCCCCCTTGCCTCTACCTCAGACCCTGCTTTCAAAGCCACAACAATTGGAGACACCACCACCCCAGTACCCCTGGAAGGAACTATGTTCCACCTGCTCCGACGCACCTCTGGCTCATTATACCCCCCCATGGCCCGCCCACCCCTTGCTCCCTTGCTGGCCATTGTCTGCTTTTCTGGTTAATGTTGGCCCAAACGCTGCGCAACAGCCATGTGTGCCCACCCCTTTCACGGACCTGCACTCATCTGCAAAGCCGCCAATGAATCAGGACCCAACTCCCCATATTTTGAGCAAGTCCTCCGCCAATGGGCCATGCAGTTACAGACCCATTACGATTGGTATAACTTATTAAAGGCGGTTTTGGAGCTCTCAGTCTTCCTGAGTTGGCATTTGGCTTACAACGATCAGCCTGAAAATCAGGCATGTCTCAACCTTCAATATGGCCTTAATATTACTCTGGATATGCTCACAGGATGTGGACAATATATTGACCCCATTTCCCAGTCCACTATTGGCCTTCATGCTTACTACCAACAAGTTAGTGACCTGGCCTTCAAGGCCCTTAAACGTTGCTCCCCCTGTGACCCACAGGCATTCTTCTGCAATTTGATTCAGCAGCCAGAGGAGTCCTTCACGGACTTCCTCACCAATGTAACCGGGGCAGTGGAAAGGAGGGTGGAGTCTGGACCCACCCGCAATATGCTTATCAAACAACTGGCATGGGAGGGCCTAAATACTCCTACCCACAATGCTATCGTGCCTGTCTGCAATGATGATATTCATAAATGGGTACTTGCCACTAGGGACCTAGACCCCAGGACAGGACCCATCAAGGCCCTGACTGCCTCCTTAGAGGCGCTCTTATTACAAGGAAGGCCCACCCCCTCTGATTCAAAAGATGGCTGCTGGAACTGCAGGAGGACAGGACACCTCCGCAGGGACTGCCTGAACAATGGAGCTTTTCCCAAGACCAGCTGCCCCAAATGCAAAAAGGGATTTCACTGGGCAAAAGATTGTAAGTCACAGCCCCAATCGGACTCAGCTCCTTTAAACTCCACCCAGGGCACCCCTCATCCCCGCAAGTAAGAAGGGGAATGAGACAGATTTTATGGACCCTTCCAATTCTTAATCACTCCCCCCTAATGACCTTATTCCTGGATGGGATCTCTGTGAAGGGCCTAGTGGACACAGGAGCCGATATTACCATCATCACCAAGAGAGAGTCTCTTCTGTTCCCCCATTGGAAATATCGGCCTGGCCTGCCCATTAAGGGAGTGGGGGGCAGCCAGGACACAAAGCTGGTCATCCACCCAGTACACTGGAAGGACTTAGATGGGAGTAAGGGCACATTCACTCCCATAGTGGTTGACGTCCCCCGCAACTGTGGGGTCAAGATGTCCTGGAAGACATGGGTGTGGTTCATTACCACAATCAGGCCTTTTATGATGATGTCATAGCCCAAGATAAACTTGGCCTCTCTGGGGGAAATCAGAGCCCTGATCAGCACCCCAAATTCTAAGGGCACTGCCCTCCCTGGGACATCCCCTAAGGAGTCTTCCACACTGATCATGCTTACCTGGTTCTCGACAGATGTGATCTGGGTGGAGCAGTGGCCTATTATAGAACCTAAGTTATCCTCAAAAATTTGGTCCAGGAACAGCTGGACCTCGGACATTTGGAACCATCCACTAGTAAATATAATACCCCAATATTTGTTATTAAAAAGAAAAATGGCCGTTTTAGATTGCTTCAGGACTTACATGCCATTAATGACCAAACGGAAAAAAAATGGGCTTGACACAGTCTGGCTTGCCCCACCCTGGTGCTATTCCTCCTTCTTATTATGTCATAACACTTGATATTAAAGATTGCTTCTTCTCAATCCCGCTGGACCCCCAAGATCGTAATCACTTTGCCTTTACTTTGGGAACCGAACTTCCACAAGCCGGCCCTCAGATATCAATGGAAAGTCCTTCCCCAGGGAATGAAAAAACAGTCCTACTATTTGTCAGCTTTTTGTCTCATGAGCCACTTCAACTATCCCTCATAGTGTACAATTTATTCACTATATGGATGACATTCTGTTGTCCCACCCTAACCCACAATTTCTGCAAGGTAACCAGGGACTTACTCTCTTGCCTATCGTCCTTTGGCTTTTCTATCGCCTTAGATAAGCTACAGGAGGTGCCTCCTTATGCCTTTTTTGAGGCATACCATTTTGGCCAGCGTATGCCCCATGGCCCCTGCTTTTAATTCAAAGCTGGTCTATACACTAGCCAATTTTCAACAACTCTGTGGCACCATAAATTGGTTTAAACCATTCTTGCCCATTCCCTTGGAGGAATTGAGGGTGCTGTTTTGTCTTTTGGAGGGCCCCACCTGCCCTTCAGCAAAGATTAACCTAACTCCCCCAGCCATTGCCTTATTACAAAAGATCATTGAGTTACTCTCATCAACGAACCCGCAGCAATCTGGGTTCCCATTCCCAATGCCACTCACTTCTATGTTATCACTCTCATGGAACAGATGGCTCTCCAACCCTTCCCCTGGGTCAAGAGAGATTTTGGTATTACTGCAGCAATTGTCACTGCCATTATCCTTTTCTTGGGGGCTGCAGCCACTGCTGCTGTTGCTATCACTCAATCTTCCACTACTGTGGAAACACTCAATGAGGTCGTATCCAAAACCTTTGCAGTCTTACACACTCAATCTCTTAATAATCAACACCTCTTCCAGGCCATTTCTGCCATCCAACAACAGGTAGACCTCCTCGGGGAAGAGATGGTGATCATCAAACAGATGATGCTAATGGCCTGTGACCCACAGTTCAAAGTCCTGTGTCTCACACCTTACAAAGTATATAACCTCACTAGGGCCAGGATGGAACTCTCACAGTACATCCATGGCCACTGGAGCCAAAAGTTTCTCAACTACTCCACCTTGCTCACTGACTAGATCATCTTCCTAAATTATACCCGGGCTCAGACATTAGATATAAACTCTGGGTTCCTCGACAAACTTTGGTTGAACTTAAAAGCTTTGTTTGACCTTTCATGGATTGTTACTTATTTGCTCTTGGGTATCATAGTCTTAATTCTTTTCTTGATCATAAAATGCCTTGTTCTATGCTTCTGCAGACAAAACCAAGTAAATTACTCGGTGTATCAGGTTCTCAAAACACTCGAGGATCCAGACTTCGACCCCCACCCCAGATCCGGCAGGTCTGGCTTGCTGACATCCAACAAGAGGCTGTGTAATTTCTTGCCCTCCTCCTCCCTCACATGGTCATGCCAGAGGTCACACCCTTTGAGGGCTGGTAGTCAGTGACGGGTAAGATCCTGATGGTTGGGACAACCTAAGACAGGCACAGTCCATCAAGCTGGGTGTCCTCTGAGGTGGGGTCAACTATGTTGAGGCAAAGAACCTCAGCTCCCACTGACCTTTCTATAATAAAAAGGGATAGATATGTAGGAGAGGAAGTGCCAGGCTTAAGCACAGGCTGCTTAAGCTTCCGCTTAAGAACACAGCTTCCGCTTTCAGAGCGCAGCCCATGCTTCCACAAAATAGCCAACCTACAATCTGCCTGGATGAGGGGCTCTATCAGGAAGTGACACAACAATTTATGGGACACTGAGGGCAGGAGGAGAGGTATATAAGGCTTGCACTTCCCAGCAATAAACGAGTCTGCAGCACCTCGCATAGTGCCTGCTCTCACCCGACTCCCGGAGTCTGTGTGTTGATTCTGCACCACTCACCCCCCACCTCGGCCAGAACCCTCATTCCTTGCAGTCCCTCGTGGGCTGGACCCACAAGGAAACCTGCAACACTTGGCTAAATTGTTAAGATTTAAAAACAGAAATTGAGTCCAACTTTACCAATGATGAAGTATATATTTAGGTCAGTATATTAGCTCATGCCTGTAATCCCAGCACCTGGGAAGCTGAGGCAGAAAATTTTTCTTGAGTTCCAGAACAGCCTGGTTATAAAGTGAGACTCTGTTTCAAAAAATAAAAAAAATAAGAAATTTAAAAAAAGAATATAAATTTGTCAAGAATCAAGTTAGAGGCTAGAGAGATGGTTCAGTGGTTAGTCTTGCAAAGGACCCAGGTTTGGTTCCCAGCATTCACATGGCTAACAATCATCTGTATGTGCAGTTCTAGGGATTTGATATCCTCTTCTTTCCTCTGTGCACATTACGCACATGTGGTATACATGTAAGTACTTACATGTATGCAGGCAAAACACCCATATACATAAAAATAAATAATTAATTTTTCAAAAAGAAATCAAGATAATTCTAGGAACAAGATACTAACATCTTTAAAAAATTATTTTTTGTTTGTTTTTTTTTAAGACCAAGTCTTAGGCTAGGGATGTAGCTCAGTTGCCTGCTTTGCATGCACAAAGCCCTAGACACAGTCCCAGGACCACATAAAACCAGGCCCATGTATTGTGGTTCAGACCAGTGATATGTAGGCCAGGTTGGCCTCGAACTCACAGAGATCTGCCTGTCTCTGCCTCCTGAGTGCTGGGATTAAAGGCATGTGCCACCATGCCTGGCGAGACCCTATCTTTTTTAAAAAAGGTGTAGGAGTGCTTGTTTCAACAGCACATATACTAAAATTGGAATGATACAGAGATTAGCACAGCCCCTATGCAAGAATGACACACAAATTCATGAAGCATTCCATATTTTTCACATGGCTGGAGAGGTCAAAGATCCTAGAGAAAAACCCACTTTAGTCACATCCCTAGACTAATGTAATTTTCTTACTTTATTCTAAATATGCATCCTCATACTTATAGACAAGTGAAACTTTTACTGCTCCCCCATCAAAGAAGTTTCTTTTTGCAACAGATAGAGACTGTTACAGAGTTTCAAAACTAGTCAAACACAGAGAACAAGTATCTATGCGATGTTTAACCCTGTGACACATCTTCAATGCAACCTCTACACTTAGGATGACTGTATCTCTCAACTCTCACCAGAGAAGTTTCCTTATGCAACAGATAATGATTAACACAGAGACCCACAATTAGCCAATGTATAGAGAACAAGAAGCCACAGAGTACTTATTCCCGAATAGGACAGCTATTTCAACTTCTGCCCCAAAAGGTTCAGGTATCATTGAGGAAGAGGAGGTGGAAAAATTATAAGAACCAGAGGTGGTGAATGACCACAAGGAAACAGTGTCTTCCAGATAGCTGGTCATTCACTCATATAAACTCAAAGCAATGGTGATAGCATGCACAAGTCTATGCAAGCTCAAATCAGACAAACTTCTAGCTAGCATTGACATGGGGAAGTGGGTAAGAAATCCCAACCCAACTTAAGGAACTTCTGGCAATTGGCTGCTGAAAGGGAGAGAGACAGTGTCTTACAGGGATAGGACTCTTGGTGGGCCCAGAGGATGGATTCACACTGAAGGACTGGGGAACACAAATCATACTATATAGGCCATATTACATATATAAGAGAGTTCATTAATTTGGGTGGGTGGGGGCAGGAGGGGGAGGTGTGGAGAAGGGAGCAGATTTAAAAGCCATCAAACTATATTGTATGAAAATTGCAAAAATTCTATTTAAAAAAATAGCAAAGCAGTCACCAAAATGAAATTCAATCCTGTTGTGACTTCTTTTTTAGTTTCTTTTTAAAATTTTATGTGTATGCATGTATTGCCTGCACGTAGGTAAGTGCACCCATGTTGTACAATGCCTACAGAGGTCAGAAGAGGCTGTCGGATCCCCTGGGACTGGAGTTACAGACAGTTGTTAGCTGCCATGTGGGTGCTTGGATTCGAACCTGGGTCTTCTGCAAGAACAACCAGTGTTCTTAACTGCCGGAGCCATCTCTCCAGCCCCCATGACTTCTTTTTTTTTTTTTTTTTAATGTTTATTTCTTTGTATTTTATGTGTATGAGTGTTTCGTCTGCTTGTGTGTAAGTGTACCATATACCAGTAAAGGCCAGAAGAGGGCATCAGATCCCCCAGAACTGGTGTTATGGACAGTTGTTAACCACCTAGCACCATGTGGGTGCTAGGAACTGAACCCCAGACCTCTGCAAAAGTAGCCAGTGCTCTTAAACACCGAGTCGTCTCGCCAGCTCCTTTGTGGCTTCTGACTGAAACAAGAACTATAAAAAAGCATTTCAATGCACTTTCTCACATTGGGAGGAAGATTATGTCTTCCTCTTTTTCCAAAGAGCTAAGACAGAAGTATAATTTGCAGTCTGTGCCCATTCATAAGGTTGATGAAGTTCAGGTTGTATGAAAAAAGGTCAGCAGGTTGGCAAAGTGGTCCAGGTCTATAAGAAGAAAGATGTCATCTATGCTGAATAAATGCAGTAGGAAAAGGCTAATGGCACAATTGTCCATGTGGGCATTCATCCCAGCAAGGTGGTTATTATCAGGCAAAAGCTGGACAAAGACTGCAAAAAATCCTGGAACAGAATGTCAAATCTCACCAAGCAGAAAAGGAAAAGGGAAAATACAAGGAAGAAACCATCGAGAAGATGCAGGGGCAGAGTAATCGTAAATACAACTTTCATTAAAACTTGGTTACATGATTGAAAAAGAAATAAATAAAACAAAACCTAGAAATTTACTGTCTTCTAGAGTTTTCTTTGGTCACGTGTATATACACACACATAGGTCTGATATTTAATGTTTCTGGAAAACTGGACAATGTCAGAGGCAATGTCTGGAATGTTTAAAGAACTGGGGAAAGTCTTTCATGATCTCTATTTGCATTATCTTTTCATCTTTCTGCTAATTTTATTTAGGTAGCTTTTGGGGGCATCTTTTTTTTTGAGATGGAGTCTCCCTGTAGCCCCAGCTGGCCTGGAACTCACTATGTAGACCAGGCTGGTCTTTAACTCACAGAGACCTGCCTGCCTCTGCCTCCTGAGTGCTAGAATTAAAGACATGGAACACCACATCCACTTGGTCCATTTTAAAATTTATTTTTATTTATTTATTTATTATTTATTTATTTTAATTATTTATTTTTG